CCGCCAGGGCTGTGCACACGTCGAGGGCCTGAGCCTCAGGCATGCTCCCCGCCGCAGCGTGGCCCCATCTACAGGTGGAAAACCAGAGCTTGGAAAATCTCAGGGACTTGTCCAAGGACTTGCAGATAATGAGGGAGGGGGAGGGGGGAGGGAATGAGCTCTGTCACATTGGTGGGGATCCCCCCAGACCCTTACTGGGCTGCAGCGCCCCCACTGATGCTGCTGGCATGCTGGGGAACTCCCGGGCTGCAGGGGCCACACCTGGAAATGCTAGGACCTCTGTCCCCCCACGCACAGCCCACAACCGGAGGGCCAGTCGCTGGCCCTTGCCTGGGGCTGAACAGGTCCGCCTCGGGCGCAGAGCTGCTCTTGCTGAGCCGGTGCCCTCAGCCCGGGTCCACTAGTCCATCCGGCTCTGCTGAGGGGACCGATTACTTCCTGCTACCTCTTGACAGTGTCTGACCTCACCTACCTGTCCCTCTCCCGACTTGACAGAACACTCTGAGGATTTATACAGAAAAGAACGTGGATTTTGGAACATGACAAGAACTGCGAGACTGCCTCACCAAACCTGCGCCCCGGGCGGCTTTCTCCCTCTCTCTGGGCCTCAGTTTCCCCAGCTGTACCAGGAGGAGACCAGTTCCTACTCACAGACCTGGTGAAAAGTAGAGGAGGGAGTGGGAGCCCTCTGCCCGGCCACGCTCCGTCCAGGCAGGTGAGTGTCCCCAAGAGGGCCCCAGGTCTGGGTGGCCCTGATCTGCAGGGCCAGGGGCCATTCCAGGGCCGGTCGTTGGCCCCTTGCAGAGCCTGGCCATGCCCGAGGCACCACCTTCACCACCTGCAAATCCCCATGAGTGTCCACATGACTCGCTCATCCCTGCCCGCAGGGAACAGGCCCCGGGCTTCCGGGGTGAGTGACTCCACCGTGTCCAGGGCTGCAGCGACCCACTCAGAGGCTGTTCTCCACAGGCCTGGAGGCCAGGAGGCCAGGGTGCAGGTGCCTTGGGGTCGGCCCCTTCTGGAGGCTCAGAGGTCAGTCTGCCCCAGGCCTCTCTCCAGTTTCTGGTGACACTGGCCAGCAATTCCTGGGGTCCCTTAGCCGTGTCACTGACTTTTGCCTCTCTGGTCACGGGGCCCTGCCCTGTGTCTGACTTCATGCAGGGTTCTCCTCTGCTTCCAACCATATTGACTTCAAGCCCATCCCATGACCTCATCCTAACGGGACCACACCTGTGACACCCGACGTGCCGAGAAGGTGGCCTTCGGAGCCCAGGAAGGATGCGGTTCTGGGGACACAGCCGAGGTGCAGGGTGGAGGGAGGCTCCGAACCTGTGGCCCAGCGTCGCAGCAGAGGAGAAAGTCCACATTTCTATTCTGACGTTCGTATTTCTGTGCGTGAGCCTGGGCTGTGCGACAGACTGTAACACAGGCTGTACCGCAGACAGGGCGAAGCAACAGGTGTTTCTCACCGTGTGGCCGCTGGAAGCCCAGGTCATGCTCCAGCTGGTCCAGTGTCTGCCGAGGGCCCTTTTCTGTGTGTCCTCCTGGGGACTGGGGTGGAGGGAGGAAGGAAAGAGGGAGGGGGGAGGGAGGGGGAGGGGGAGGGAGGGAGCAGGGGAGGGGGAGGTCCTCTGTCTCCGTGATGAGGGCACTAATCCCATCACAAGGCCCCACCCTTGGACCCCACCTTTTAGGTCCCCGTCCCCGACACTAGCACACTGGGGGTAGCTTTCAAAATATGAAACTCGGGGGGGACATAACCGTTTATTCCGTAATCGCCCCGGTGGGAAATGCCACCTTCCAGGGTAAGCACGGGAGACGGAGGCTGTGTCACGCCCAAGTCAGACCCGAGTGCCCATGGGCCAGGCTCTCCAGCCCTCAGGTCTTCCAGACGCTGACGTTATGGGGTGACGGCGCCGGGGTTCCTCACGGCCACCCCACCCCAGGACCACCTTTCTGAACCACCTGAGTGTAAATCGTCAGGCTAAAGAATGTTATGCAAGGACGTAAGACTGGGACGCACCTTTCCAGCGGCCACTGGGTTGAGAGAGACACAGCGAGAGACATGCCGAGAATGGGCGCCGGCGGCCGTTGCACGTCCCTGCCCAACGGACACAGCCGTGTAGTACCCTCTGTGTAGTACCCCAGCTGTCCGTCCCTCTGCCCAGCTCCCAGCACGCCTGTGCACACCTGGTGATACCTGTTTCTTCTCGGTTGTTGACTGGCCTTTGTTACAGGTCCAGCACCTAGAAGGGCCACTGTCCCCGTGACTGCATTCCCGTCTGAGGACTTTCGAGCCTCGTGAACTCCCCCAGCTCCTCAGCGCTGAGGACTCAGGGTATGAGGAGTGTGCGTCCCTCCCTAATCTCCCTTCTCCTCGGCCAGGGCTTAGGTGGATGGCCAGGTGCGGGTCACCGGACCGCGTCCCCCCTCAATGAGGTCATCCTAGGAGTGGGGTACAGCGTGGCCTGAAGCTGGGTGCCGTCCATAGTCTAGCTGCATTTTTAGGGTAGGATTCAGTCTTTGTTCATTTCATTTTCCCATTTTGTTCAAAGACTGTAGCACATACTTCAGTGACCAATGACTTTTCGGGTGTCAAGTGATTGAAATATGACTGGACACCCGGAAAGGCTGGAGGCCAGGAGGTGGCCGCTGGCGTCACCCAGCGGAGTCACGGGCCCGCCCGCCCCTCGGCTCTGGTCTGCGCCCTCTCCGCCCCCACCTCGGGGCCCTGACGCAGACCGTGGGTCTCCGCAGCCTCCTCCTCAGCCCTCCACAACCCTCATGAGATTCAGGAGTGTTTCTCCTTTAAAAACTCTGTGTCGTGGTCCAGGGTGAGAGGACGGAGCACAGCCTCCGTCTGGGCGCCTTGTATGGCCGAGTGGACGTGCGGTCGGCCAGAGGCCCGGGGCAGAGCCCTCCCCCGTGTTCTCGGCCTCCTCACCGGCTCCCGCCCTCACCTCAGCCTGGAGGCTGTGCTGCTCCAGGGGGGGCTCATGCTCCTCCTTTTCCTTCTTCCCCAGGGAGGCGCTCGGCTTCCGGAACCAGCCCCGGCCCAGGGGCTTCGCTGCTCCCCAGCGCCAGGGCCTCGGGCCCCGATGCCCCCCACACAGCGGGAGGGCGCCCGGCGGGTCACGTGTTCTCAGCAGTTGGCCTTGTTGGTCATTCGAGCTGCCACTGCTGCGTCGGAGTGTATTTGCAGCTTTGTTTTCTGTGCTTTTCAGCTGTGTTTAAAAAATACTCTTATTTATGTTTTACAGGAGAGGGAGATGGAAGTATCGGCGTGAGAGAGAAACATCAGTCGGCCGCCGCCTGCACGCCCCCTACTGGGAAATGAACCCAAAACCCGGCATGTGCCCTGACCGGGAATCAAACTGGCGACCCTTTGGTGCCCGGGACGACGCCCAGCCGACCAAGCCACAGAGGCCGGGGCCTGCTCAGGATTGTATCACAAGCACCTAGTAACAGGCCTCCTCACCACGCTCCACCCCCGTGGCGCCCCACACGGTGTGCTTGGCCCAGCAGCTCGACCGTCCCTCCACGCGGGCCTCGGGCCGCTGTTTGCTTCTGTGCGGTCAACGTTGTTCTGGTGTTTAGGACCGACCTCTGAGATCACTGCGTTAACTTCGAATGTTATGAGATGTTGGCGCCGCTACCCGCTGGCTCTCAAATGCTCAGCAGCTCCGCCGTCTGGCTCATACGGGGCATGTCTTTCAGCGATCAGACGGCGGACCCGAGTCGCTGACTCGTGCTCGCTGACTCGTGCTCGCTGACTCGTGCTCGCTGACAGGACACCCTCCCTGTGACTGCATCTGTTCCCGGGACGAGGCTTGGCACCCGCCGCCTGGAGATGACAGGGGTCCTGGGGTCCTGAGGCCCCTCCGTGCCCCCGCGTGAGCGCCATAGGATGAGCAGGTGCTCTGCGGGTGTGTGGCAGCAGTGGACCTCGGAGCAGGGATGCCCACTGGGCACGCATTTACATTGTACAAAGATTAGGGGGTCTCCTCCTCCAATGATTTCTTTTGGGGCCTTGTGTCTATTATAGGAGAGCATTTCTGGAATTTTAAAGGGTGACTTTTACCAACATAAATGATGGGGTGAGTCAGCATGAAGTCCTGGTTGGGTAATTTGAGTTTCAGGGGTGGTCCTCGCTGGTGAAGCACCTGGGAACCAATCATGGGTGGGGCCCTGGCAAGTCCTTGAATGGGGGACACTGAGAACAAGGCATCCGCCCTGAGGCTGAGCCATCAGGAGGCATCAGGCCGCTGTCTGTCTGTCCAACCATCTGGGGGAGGGTAGGGAGGCAGGAGCTGCTCAGGAGTAAGAGGCAGGGACAGCCTGGCGGGTGTGGCTCAGTGGCTGAGTGTCGTCCTGTGGACTGAGGTCCAGGTTTGATTCCGTCAGGGCACCTGCCCGGGTTTGGACTTGATCCGCAGTAGGGGGCGTGCAGGAGGCAGCTGATCGATGTTTCTCTCTCTCTCCCTCCCTCCCTCTCTAAAAAAATCAATAAAAACATATTTTAAACAAAGAGGCAGGGACAAGGGACGTGGCCCCAGAGAGCGGCGTGTGAGCCTTGGCGGACCAGGCGAGAGGCTGTGTGGGCTCGTGGGTCCGGCCGGTGCGGGTTCAGCGTGTCGGCGTCAGCCGTGTGGCAAGCGCTCGGCCGCTGAGCAGAAGGCCCTGCCTGGGGCCCTGCCTGGGGGACGCGTCCTCTCGCGGCAGGGAGGCCTGGACGTGTCCACTCCTCCTGGGCGCGCGCACCGCACCTGTGGCCGGGTGAGCACGTGACCCTGCTCAGAGACCCGTCGTGCTACAAATGTGACAACACCTTTTTATTTGGAGTAAAGATGTGTTAACATCCAGCATGACAAAGTTTGTACAAAGTTCACAATTTAAAAATGAAGTATCACTGCAACTTGTGATTCACACATTTATAGCAAAATTAAAGTGTCAACAAACCCATGCTGTGTCGTACAAAAATAAATCAAACCTCAGTTCCACGAGAGCACAGTAAATATTTATACAAAATTCTGTCTTAATAAATGGTTACTTAAATTAACTTAGAAATGAATATGAACAATAAGTTATAATAAATAAACTCTGATGACTCACAATAACCCCTATGAAAGGTCAGCATTCTAATGAGACACTTTGTGGTCCCCTATATAATAGTCACAGATAACTGGGATTGGATATTATTACCAACGTTAGGTGAGCAGCAGATTTGTGCTTAGACTCCTTCCATTGTACATGTGATAGTGAGAATCCAAACCGAGACTACCTATTACTCTACGAAAGCATCACTACGTGGGCAGAGAAGCTCGGACACGATGCGGGGATGCGATGCCGATATGAACAGCAGCCAGGGCGGCCGGCCGGCCCGGACGTGGCAGCAGGTGCCGAGCACCTGGGTCAGCTCCGCAGGCGATGCTGAGCGTGGTGGCGACTACGCGCGAACAGCGGGTGGCTCTCTGGAGAGGCTGCGGAGTTGTGGTCCCGTGGTCCCCCCAGCTTGGCGGGGATCCTCGCGGAGCGGAGTCTGTGCGGTGAGCGGATCAAGTGCCGCGGGCTGTGCGTCCGTCTGTGCGTCCGTCTGTGCGCATAGGCCAAGGCCGGGCGGCCAGCGTCAGCTCCTCGTCGGCCGCGGGTGTGGGAACTGCACACCTCCGCACGGACACGTGGACAGGTGAGTGCAAATAGGCGACTGGCACGTGTGGGGACAATGACCCTGTAAGTCCTGTTCTGCTAAAAATATTTTTTTTTTATTTTTACAAAACCCATCTTTTTTTCATAACAAAATTCGAAGCACTTTTGTACTTCCTGCATAACATCAAGACATGGGAGGAAGCGATGCATGACATGTGATCAGTCCACACCAGCGTCCCGGGACGGCGGGGGCGCAGCCGCCTCTCCACGCTCAGACAGGCCGGGAGGCCATGCAGGAGAAGGGCTGGCGCACATGGTCACTCCTGAGCTGGCCGCCTCAGGAGGCTCAGGACAACGCTAACCACAGGCCGTGGGCTGCCCTGCGGCCGCCCTGAGAGCTCTGAAGGCCGCCGACGCTCCGAGGCCTGGCGGGAGGCCCTGCGGCAGCTGCACCAGCGGACCCAGCGGGAAAGTCAGTCCAGTCACGCGGAGACTCACCCATCATTTCCCTTTATGCCCCAAATGTAAAACGACGACGACAACAATAATAACAGTTTTAAAGGGGGAGGGGAAATAAATACTCTCAGACTATCTTGGTGCTTAAATGAAAGCCCACGGACTCTGTTGGGCAGCCACACTCAGGGAGACAGTTCGGGGCAGGGCCCTCGTGGGGGTGAGCAGAGGTGATTCCAGAGTTTATTGGAAACGGGAAGGGACATCTTCACGCCGGCCCCTCTAAAGCCCTGTCTGAACCGCAGTCCCCACGGCCGCACCGTGCCATGCTCGGGAGCTAATTTAAAAGTGCTGCTTAAGCTGCTTTGAGTCTTCTGCCAAGTTTCCATGGCTTGATGCTGTCTTACAATAAATCACTTATTTCTTACAGTTAATCCATAATGCCATTTCCTTGGAATGCAAAAAACCTCATTACTGCCCCCACCATACACCATCCTCCTAAAACAAACAAACAAAGAAATCACATAATAGTTCCAAGCATTGTTCAAAAATAAAGCATTTTCTTTGCAAACAATTCTTGCTATGAAACAATATGCACACAGAACGTGTCTCTGAAATCCAGAGCCCTCCACGCGAGGCGGCATGGTCGTGCCGGAAGCGGCCGCAGCCACCGCCTGGGCATTCAGAGCCGTTGGTTGTTTTTGATTTTGTTTTCTTTCTTTCGTCCATTTCAGTTCAAAATACTAAAACGTGTAATCACTAAAGCATTAAAAAGAATGTACACTCTATGGATCTCCATCCGCTCACCTCTTCAGAAATATAGACCCATGTGCATACATCAGAGCCACAGACATTACACGGAACCACTGATGTCAGCGTCTGTGAAAACGTACAGAGTGTGGATGTGTTCAAACTATCCTGCAGGTGCTGCCTCTAAAGCAAGACACGGTCACTGCGGGTCCTGTGAGCGTGACTGTCAGGCAGAAGGAGCGCGGCAGGCTCTGCCAGGAAGCGGCAGGGGACGGGCCTCCTGGCAGCCACGGCAGCCTCTGCGCCGCTGGTCACACCTGGATCCCTCTGACAGCCTGCTTTATGTTTTCCAGGAGGGCTTTATTCTCTGGGCTCTGATAACGATCTTGATTTGTGTACATGTCCGTCAGAGTGGTCACGTATGCATCAAAATTTTGTTCATTGATTGGGTCCTACGAGATATCAAATAGCAGTTCATGTGCAACTTACTTTCTCATCAGGGGCCACACCACACACAGCATCACCGCCTCGGGCACCACCTGCGCCGCTCACAGGGCCTCCTCGGAGCCATCGCGCTCCACGGCGCCCGACCCCCCACCGCTCTGGCGCTAACGCCACGGTGGGGCGGTCACCGAGCAGTCACAGAACAGACATCTCCTCCGCGGCACGCGCGGGGCCACTTACCATGTGCGGCAGCTGGATGTTGGCCAAGCTGTGGATCAGGGACTGGCTCAGGTTGGCCAGCTCGTGGAGCAGGGACTCATTCTGCTGCTCGATCACCTTGTTCTCCTCCTCGATGGTCTTCAGGCTGGTCTCCATCGTGGTGATCTGAAACGCACACGTGTGTGCCCATGTTGGGGTGTGCGGGGTGTGGGCTCCCGCGGTGAGGGAAAGCCGACCGGTGCAGAGAAAGCACCTCTTCGCTTAGATAAAAGGCTTTGGAGTCAAGAGTCTGCATGTTAAGGGTTCGGCCTGCCTGCTGCTGGTGTGTGCTGCTCGCTAGTGTGTCACTGCCCAGAGCAGCAGGTCTGAGGAGGGGCGTGGAGAAGGCCGGGGGGCTCCCGGGCCCGCAGACTTGGGCTCAGTCCCCACCAGCCCACCGTCCCTGTGCACAGTTTCCACACGCGGCTGCTCCTGTTAGGTCCCTGTCCTCTCTGCTGCTTTGACGGGGCGGGGCCCCCGATTTGTAGTGTTTTACTGACCTGCCACTAACACTCCTTTATCAGCCTGAATCCAATCTGCCCAGAGAAGTCCTAAAGCGTCAACATATTTGAGGGTGTCGCTGCTGCCACCCCCCTCGGCCCCAGCGACACTCGGGAGCAGGGCCTCACACACTCCTGGCCGGGGCGAGGCAGTGTCCCGGCCTGCTCCGCCCTCCCTGCTGCCGAGAGCACTGCTGCCGCCGTGGTTGTGGCTCTGGTGTGGGGCCGGCTCGCGGACACGGCAGTGGAGCCGCAGAGCAGCCGGCGCGCTCGGGGACGGCATCCCGGGCACCGCACCCGTGCCGGGCGTGCGAGGGTGCCCGAGTGCCCTGCTGGATGGGGGCGGGCTCTTCCGCACCCACTTTCCCTAGTGCCCTGAGCTCATTTTCCACCTGTGGGCCGGGGCCTCTGCCCTCCGTGTTGCCCAGGATGCCCGGAGGCTGTGGCCTTGCTGGACCAGCTGGCAGACCCGGCCCTCTTTCTGGAAAGGAGACTCACGGCCCAGCCCGCACGCCGAGCAGCTCCTGTGGATGGCAGACGGCGCCCGCCCAGCCGGCCACACAGCCCGGCAGTCCCACAGGGTTGCTGCTGAGGCAGAGGGGGCTCGGCCGCCCAGCACGGAGCACGGGCCAGGGCCGGGCCTTCCTCCCCGCTTCCCAGGGGCGTCTTGGGCAGCGCTCTGGCCACGGCTGCATCTAAAGGGCTGAGGCAGCTCTGATGGAGTGTTTGCTACAGAAACAGGCTGGCACGCAGGGCCGGGTGGGGTGGGGACAGCAGCCGGCACCTGGTCCTGTCGCCCTGAGCCATGGGCTTGTGGCCGTCACCTGCTGTCCTCAGCCTCGGGGAGGAGGAGAAAGGAGTCTGTCTCCGTCTTTGAGGAGCATCCAGTTCTCCATGGCCAAGGGAGGAGCCTCTCGGGAGGGGCATGTGCGTGTGTGCATGTGTCTGTGTGTGTGTGTATGTGTGTGTACACCTGTGTGTGCATGTGTCTGTGTGTGTGTGTGTGTGTACACCGGTGTGTGCATGTGTCTGTGTGTGTGTGCACACCTGTGTGTGCATGTGTCTGTGTGTGTGTGTATGTGTGTGTACACCTCTGTGTGCCTGTGTGTGTGTGTTTGTATGTATATAAAGGCTAGCTAGGGCTCAAGTTAAAATAAGACTTATGCCCAGTTGGTGTGGCTCAGTGGATGGGGCGTCATCCGTGGACTGAGAGGTCCCGGTTCGATGCCCAGTCAGGGCACATGCCCGGGTTGCTGGCTTGATCCCCAGGACAGGGCATGCAGGAGGCAGCCGATCTGTTTCTCTTTCAAGCCAATGTTTCTGTCTAACAAAAATCAATGAAAACGTATCCAAGGAAAAGACGCGCAAGAGGGGCAGACACAGCTGAGCAACTGCGACTCCGTGGCGCGGCAGGCGCAGTTCCTCAGGCCGCTCTGGACACCGCGTGCAGAGACCACGCTGCTCTGGCCCTGGGGCAGCAGGTGCCCGTCTTCCCCAGTTCCCACAGCTGCTCGGGTGAGCCAGGGGCAGCTGCTGCTCAGCCATTTCTGAAGCCAGTCTGTTTTCGCTCCGAGACCCCGTGGAGCCCTGGGGTATGAGTCAGTGCAGGTGCAGCCACCAGGACTGGTGCCTCTGGGGGGACCCAGGAAGCAGCCCTGACACACTGGGCCCCTCAGTCTGGTTGGGAGCAGCTCTGGCCTGGCCCAGCCCGCCCGCTGCGCTGGGTGCGAACAGACCAGTTCACTGTGTGGTCTGAGGCCTCTGGGAGCTCTGCCTCCATCCAGGTCGGACTGAGCAGACGGGCGGGGTGTCCCTCACCTCACGGTGTCACGGGCAGGGAGGGAGAGCATGGGGGGGGGGCATGAACAGCCCAGAGTCAGGGAGGTGACTGCGCCCTTATCTTTGAACAAGGAGGCAAAGGCACCCACGGGCTCCATGGCCTTGCGGCTGGGCCGCAGCCCGCGACCTCAAACGCCGAGGGCAGTGGGGAGGTGGGGGGCCACACCCAGGCTCCGCAGCTGCTTCCGGGAGCTCAGAACGGCGCTGCCAGGCTGACCTCCTTGGGCCAGGCTTCACCTGACTGCAGCACACCCTCTGCCCTAAGACAGGGAGCGCCGGCCCTGGCTCAGCATGTTCCCCCACTTCGGAGACCCTGGGCTTACCTTCGGAAGCAGAGGTGCCACCCAAGGCTCATCTGAGGTCACCCCTCATCAGCAGGTCAGTGAGATACACACTGACCCTTATGACTCCTTTTTGAGACGCAATGGAAGTAGATGCCGCTGGAACGGGTCTGTGCACGGACCTCAAAGAGCTCTGAGGGGGCAGGGAGGCCGCAGGGCAGATGGGAGCATGCACGGGACCCCAGGGCCGCCCTCAGCATCTCGAGCCCTAGGAGGCCCGTCCAGGCAGCACAGCCTCACCCGGGCCCTGGCCAGGCTCGGTGTCCAGGCGCATCGGCAGCGAGGCAAGTGCGCGGGGCTGGGTGACCGGCACACAGGAAGGGCGTGGAGGGAGCCGGGGGGAGGCCAGGGGGCACCAGCGGCGGACCCAGAGGGCTGTGCGTCCAGAGGGCTGAGCGGGGCCGCCAGGGGCTGGGCAGGGCCTCGTTCCACAGGAACACGGTGAGGTGGGAGCACCATTCCTCTGACAGCCAGACAGACCGAGGCTGACTCTGTCGTCTTGTTCCTGCCAGAAAACTGGGCTCATGGCTGAAGGAAGGAGGTGGTCATGGGTCTTCTACGGGCCAGTACTTCCACCAGACCTTGGCCTGGGCAGGATGCAGAGGAGGAGGAGTGGAGGTTTGGAAACTGTTCAGAAGACTCAGACCTGTGTCAGGCGGGCGGTCAGCCAGGCAAATGTGGGGCCCTGCCGATCACTGTTCTGCCCCCCGCCCCCCAAAGCTCCAAAGCTGTGCCATCGGTGGATGAGGGTCAGCAGGCTGTGACCTCCACCTGGACTCCTAGAACCTGGGCAAGTCCCTGGACCTGTCTTGGCCTCTCCTGAGAACCCATCAACACGATCGGTGGTGCAGGGGCCCTGGAGGGGGGCCAGGTCCACGGGGGGAAGGGGCCCAACAGGACAGAACCCTGCCTTACCTTCGATGCCAGTGCCAGGTCACTCTGCCTCAGTGCGACCCACTGCGGAGCCCACACTGGCACCGGCCCTGGGCAGCTCCCAGAGGGCGGAGGGGGCCTTGCACACAGGCAGCCCTGCGCGCTGTGCCGTTGCTGGGGCTCAGCTGAGGGAGTCACCTCTCCAGGGCTGAGATGCTGCGGTGTGATGGGAGTCTCACAACACCCCCCCAAGGGCCGCTGAGTGGGACACCCGAGCACAGCCTGCCCTCGGGTGCTGTGCAGCTGCTCAAGGGGCCTGTGCCCGCCTGCCCGCCCTGCTACTGTCCGCTGCACAGCTCTGGCGTCTGCGCAGACCACATCTGGGCCTGCGGCCTGAACACATGACAGCCTCCCAGCCCAGGGAGCAGACGTCCTGCTGAGGCCCTGGGTAGCAAGCGAGCCCCACACAGCCTGGCAGGGAAGGACGCAGCTGGGCACCGCGGGGGCCGGTGCCTCCGGGAGCGGCCACTTGTGGGTGCCAACTCCACACCAGAGAGCCCAGGGCCACTGGCTCCCACAACACAGCCCCAGAAACCGCAGCTGGAGACCTGATGGGGCCGGGTGGGAAAATGGGCGGCGCAGAGGGAGGGCCCTTCCCGGAGGCGGGTCCTGGGCCTGCACCTGTGCCCAGTGCAGGCGGGCGGCGCCAGGCCAGACGGCTACCTGAGTCCTGAGCTTGATCATGTCGGCCTCCATCTGCGAGTTGGACTCGTTGAGCTCCTTGATCTCCTCGTCCAGCTGCTTGATCTCCTCGTCGTTCTCGATCCCTGCCGCAGCCAAGGGGACAGGGTTAGAGCAGGGTCTGGGGCTGCGCGAGTTCTGTTCTCTCGTGTAAACGAGTAAAAAAGTGTAAAAATGAGTAAAAACGTGTAAAAAGTCACATTTGCGTGTCCAGCCCGCTGCCCTTACAGTTGCGGCAGCTGAAACCAGAAAGTCAGCGGGGCACAGAGCCCTGCACCGAGGGTGACCGCCCAAGGCTGGCCCTGCACTCGCCTGGGCGCGACGTGCCTGGTGCTGCCGCCCTCCCACCCTCTGCCCCGCACACAAGGCCCCAACCGGACTGGGCGCCTGCTAAGGGCAGAGAGACCGCGATGCTGACGAACTTCAGGTCGGAGGTCACAGAAGAGCTCGCCTTATATTTGACCTTTGACAATACAATGACCATCTCGTTCTGAGTGACAGAAAACACTGGTCGGCTGGCAGACTTGCCAGGTTGTGAAGCGCCTGCCTGGGGGGGGTGCTGGAGTGGGGGTGGGGCAGGAGGGGCGCGGCTAGGGTGGGGTCGGGTGGGACTGGGGGCTGGGGGTGGGGCTGGGTGCCTGGCTCTGTGACCTGGCCAGGGTCACGGAGAGCCAGGGTCAGAAAGACCCCGGTCCTTTCTAGATGGGGCATCCGGTCCCCGGGGGCTGAGGGTGCCGGGGGAGATCAGGGCCGTGAGGCCTGCACTCCTGCCCGCGGATGACGCCCATTCCTGGGGACCGCGGTTAGGAGGCTCCTCCGCAGACCAAGGAACCGAGGAGCTGGGCTGAGGGCAGCGGGGGAGACCCCACCCTCCTCCCTGACAGAGGGTGAGTCCAGCTGAGAGGCAGGCCCAGGACACCTGAAGCACCACAGATTGGGGTGCGCTCCTGCTCACGGCCGCTGAAGGGGCAGAGCCGTGTCCGTGTCCACTCTGGGTTCCTGCCAACGGCCTCTTCTGCCCACGGATCAGCCTTGGGGTTACTGCCGACTTTCCGGACAAGCTGATCTTCAGCACCGTGGGGTCTCCCTCCTCTCTCTGCCCACCCAGGGGACGGGGGCGGGGCGTCCACAGGAAGCTGTGGGTCCATGGCCCCGAAGTGACACTTCTGTCCTCAGTCCTTATGGTGTGTCCCGCAGCGACCGGAAGGGCCCAGAAGAACGTGGGCAACAATCTCCCTCTCCATCAGGTGCACCCCAAGTGCAATTCACGGTGTAATAAACATACCGCTGGCGGGGCGTTCACCCTTTCTCGGGTGTGGCCCTCATCCTGTCCCTCTTCTCTATGTCTGCGGGGACTTTTATGGAAATCTGTCAACGCCAGGACCTGGGCTGGCCGAGGGGAGGCCCTGACTGGAGTGGCCTTGGGGCTGCTCCTGCCGCAGAAGCCGAGACGGGCCTCAGGATAAGGACGTTGGCGCGTGGCCCTTCCTGTGTACAGTGCCTGAAGGTGCCTGTCACCATCAGAGGGGCTGGCCTGAGGTCCCTGTGCAGTGCAGCAGAAGCCGAGACGGGCCTCAGGTCAAGGACGTTGGCGCGTGGCCCTTCCTGTGTACAGTGCCTGAAGGTGCTGTCACCACCAGAGGGGCTGGCCTGAGGTCCCTGTGCAGTGCAGCAGCCCGAGCGCTCAGGAGTCTGGAGAGCGAGCCCGAGGCGACCTCGACAGCCTGATGCCTTGTGCTGTGACGGTGGGTCTTCTCCGAGCCGGGACCACAGCTCGCTGTGGCTCCTTGGAGGAACCATTCTCGGGGGACCCCCAGAGTGAGTCCTTCAGGTGTTGGGTTTTGGATCGTTCTTGATGGAAGGACAGACAGAGGGAGCTTTTGGACACATTCGTTACTGTGAAGGCGCATGGCTTGGGGAGGCTTTGTGCTCCGCACTCACGAGAGGAGAGAGAAGCTGTCCCCCGATGCAGCTGGGCTCATGCACACCAGCTCCTCAGGCTTGGGAGGTGGAGGCACAGCTGAGCCCCAGAAGGGCAGCGCTCCTGCCCCACAGCCCAGAGAGCGGCGGAGCCCGTCCCGGTGGCCTGCACCGTAGCCTTCCCCTGAGGCAGCGTCTGTGGGAGTGGGACACGTCTCTGGTCTTTGCACCAAAGGTGCTTCGACAGGTGAGGACAAGACCAACGGCCCAGCTCCAGCCAGACTTGGGCTGGGAGGGCCTGGGTCGGACCTCCCACTGCGGCTTCTCCAGGTGACCTGGGCTCCCAGGGTCGCACTGTGGACACGTGTGTACTAGAACCGAGAGCAGGGAGAAACAGCTTCATGCAGACTCTGTTCAGACGCTGAGAAACGGGTGACGGGGCCCAGCGGGGCGCCCCCCGCTGGCCAGAGTGGCGCTGGGTGCGGGTGCAGGGCGCCCAGGAGGTGAGGTCTGGGCCGGGCTCCTGCGCCCAGTCACGGCTGCCGCTTGTCTGCACTTGTCCAGGCAGCGGCGGTTCTTCCGGCCAGAGGACTCGGAGTGCCGGTGCCTGGCACACGGCTAGCGGTCTGCGGCTGGGGCTCCTGGCGCGCTGCGTCCCGCTCTCAGCCCTGCAGGCCTGACCAGCGAGCGGTGCCTCCGGGACGGGTCCCGCTCTCCTGCCCGTCCTCCACTGACTGCTGCTTCCTTCACCACGTCCAAGCCCCCCCGCGCTGGTCAGTCTGCCTGCGGATGTTTGCTGTCACGCAGTGGTTGTTGGGGGTGAAACGTAATGCTACATATTCTGGAAAGGATTTGTGTGTTTTCTCCCAGGCACTGAGCACGGTCTCAAGACGGCTTCCTCGTGCTGGCCACTGGGCGGCAGGGCAGCGGAGCAGGGCCTGAGGCCGGAAGGTGTCGCCCTGTCTAGGAGCCCCCTCGCCAGCACCCGCTGTGCTGACCCTGACCTGGCCCGAGGCTGAGGCGATTAGACTCCATTTTCATCATCAATGGACCTTCCTCGACATTTTCCCAACAATAGGTCACTTACCCCCAGAAGTAAAGAAATTTTGCCTGAGATTATAGTTGCCCACGTGCTGGGAGCATCTGCAGGTGCTCGTGAGCCCGGGGAATAATGCTAATTTCTGTCACTGCTGTCACGTGGGCGCACTATTGTACCGGTCCTCGGAGGGAGAAAGGAAAAAAGAGGATGGGGTTTCTGTCGTTAAAATCAGACAAGCAAGAATCGTGGCTGCTGATCTGAGGGGAGACTGTGCCCCGCAGCCCGCTGGTGAGAATAAAGCACTCCTCCACAATCTGGCTGTGCGTCTCTGGTCATCTCGCTGACATTACAACAACAGGAGCGGGGGTGCTGGGCTCCATGGACCCAAGCCCTCAGGACATGGACACCGTGATCTTGGCTGTCTCCCAGTAAAGGAGAGGCTGCATGTTATGGAGCAGGACCTGTGGGCCCCATCCCCCGAGAGCACAAGACGGGCAGGTCGATGCCCAGAGCAGAGCTGCGGGTCTCCAGGGACCCTGCTCTGCCCAGGCCATCCTCCCGAGACCCTCTGAGGGCTGGCAAGGACCCTGCTCTGCTCTCAGAGGCCACCGGTGTGCGGGCCGCCTGCAGCTCGCACGCGGGGCTCTGTCCGTAGTCATGGCTCCAAGCGTGGGTGCCGGGTGTGTCCCTGAGGGCCAGGGTCACCTTCACACCCACTGCCCAGCACATGAGCTGATGTGTGTGCTTCTGGCTCGAACCCCTGGGTTCACGTGCGGCTGATTCACGAGCACGGGGGTGCGGCCAGCAGCACCTGGCAGCGGGACAGCGCGGCCCACGCACCGTCCTCGAGGGGCCAGCGCAGCCTTGCGCGCGGAAGAGCCCTGCAGAGCCCTCAGCGCTGCGCTCGGGGCCTTTTAAACAGAGGAACCACCAAGAAGAACACAGACCTTCAAAGGCAGAGCACTGAGCAGACCGGACAAGGACCCTTGTGGGCCAGAGGAGCTGGAGCCAGAAGGCGGAGGCCCCTGGCCCTCCCTCAGCGGGACGAGCCTTGACGAGACGGACTTCTCGGCCTGCACTGGTCTGCGTGGCGTAGGCGGCCAGCGCACGCCTTCGGGGTTTACAGACCATTTCTAGCAAGTGGCGAGTTCACAGATCGGGAATCCGCAAGATGACTGAGGGCTGGCACGTCCCCCCACACCCCAATGCACTCAGGAAGAAACGCGCTTTGCAGGCGGAATTGGGGACAGGCCAGGGGCCTCCGCTCTGCTCCTCGGAGGAGGCCGGGATGGGGGCAGAGGCACAAGGGTGAATTCTGGGAGAAACTGCTGGAAGCCTGGTGCGGGACCCCACGACCCCGGCGAGAGGCGAAGGGGTGCTCTGGGGAGAGCTGCCTCGGGTGACAGGCTGTGGCTGAGGCCAGTCCTGAGCTTGGGGTAGGGCTGGGGTGTGTGGGTGCGGGGGGGGTGTCTTGCGGATGGCAGTGGGGTTGGGGGCGTGTGGGGGCTGGGTTACCGTTGCTGGCGCGCTGCCGGATGGTCAGCATCTGCTCCCCGGACAGCTTCGCCTTCTTCATTGCCGACGTGGCCCGTGGGCAGCCCGACAAGCTGGAGACGAGACATGAAATGGGTTAGTCATGGGCCTCGGGGCAGACACGGTCAGATGCCAGGCCAGGCACCAAGTCATGTCCTCGGGCTGCATGTGGACTCGGGGGCATGTGGGCACCAGCCAGGGTGCCGTGCAGCCTGGGGTCTGGGGAGCGGTGGGAGGACGCGTGGTCACGTCCGCCCTCCAGGGCTGCTGGGCTGTCACATGTCTTCCTGATTATGGAGAGTGTCCAACCTACACCCGCGCTGAGTTCAAGCCCGAATTCAAGCTCAAGAGTGAGAAGCAGGGGATGAACTCCCCGCCCAGACTCAGCGCCGCTCAGGCAGACCTGGGTCACCGACCGCTCAGCCCTCCACCGGTCACTTTGGAGACGTCCTCATCTCCTGGGAAGCTCGGAGTGGGCGCAGCATCACCGCGTGAAGGTCTGCGCTGGCCGGCTCCCTCGCTCGGAGGCGGCTCCTCCCGTTTCCTGCTCACTTTGCACGGGCTCAGCCCCCAGGCCGGCCCGGCCCCTGCGCCGCGCCCTCCGCTGCAGCAGCACGAGCTCCACGTGGACGCTCTGCGCTCTCAGTGGACGGACACCGCACGGTGCTGCTCGCGCACGTTCAAGTCCCAAGTGGCACTCACGTGTCTTACCCCAGGGCCACGTGCCCCGTCCACAGCACAGCGGGGCCCGCAGCACCCACCAGCTGGGACACAAGCGAGAGGTCAGCACGATGTCCACCCAGTGGCGCCCCTGACACGGCGAGGCCACCTGGCCCTCTGCGGGCGCGTTTCCGGAGGCACCTCCTGGGTCGGGGCGGCTCACACTGACAGCGGTCTGAGGGACGGCAGGGTCTCGCTGTCCACGGTCACACCAGCTCCTGCGCTGTCTTCGGGGCCACATGTGTGGTGGTGGGTCTGTGTCCTGCGGCCGCCCGTCGTGAGATCAGCGGTCACCGTGTCCGCTGCTCTTCCCAGAACACTGCTGATGGGCCTCCAGATGTTCAGGGGCAGGGACCATGGGCCTTCGACCAGAGGGCCATCGCTAGCCCCAGTCCTCTCCCTCCCCAGCCACCCCCACAGAGAACGCCGGGAGCAGAGAGCGATGGGACCTGGACAGACTGTGGGTGGGGACAGGAAGGCACTGGGGGCCCAGGAACAGCTGTCTCCTGAGGGGTCTCTGCACCAGCACCCAAGGCCTGCCCCTTGCTCAGCACTGTCCATCCAGTGACTGGCCTCACGCGTGTTCCCTGAGGTGTGTTGCTCCTCAGACTGTACCACCCCTTCTCACTGTCGCCAGAGTCCGGGGACTCTCCCCGGCTGGGCCCCGGCACATCTCTGCCGTGCCACCCTGCTAGGGAACGCGGCTCCGCAGAGCAGTGTCCGGAGGCCTGAGCTGTGTCCTGGGGGCCCTCCCAGCCCGGGCCCCCCTGTGGAGCCCGCTCCACTGCCCTCGTGCCCTCGACGGTCCCACGGGCCACACTGCAGCCTGGCGGGCGCACAGTGAGCACGGGTCTGCGTTTGCTCCCTGCTCCCCCAGCTGACCTCCCAACTCTTCTCCCCGAAGCTGCCACAGAACAGGGCCAGTGTGCCTGCACCCGCGGGGCCCCTGGCCACGACCCCGTCAGCAGCCCTCCTCCCAGGGCGCGGGGTCCCCAGCTGGTCTTCGTCCTCAGCCGGCTCTGTGGTCCACTCAACTGACTGCTGGGGCCCGGCCGCCTGTCCTCGGAGACACGCCGTGGATGCAGGCTCACCAGGTGCCTCCCGCCCAGCCCCCTGCCCGAGGCCGAAGGGGCGGACAGTGAGACTGGCGCCCAGGCCTCAGGGGGTGTGCAGCAGGCAGGCTCAGGCGGTTCCCCCGGAGGCGGGGCACACAGACCCCCAGACCCATGCTGAGGCTCAGAACTGATGCGACGTGTCTGTGGCTTCTCTTAGTTCTCGATAATGAAACGCCAGCTGGGTGACAGACAGCGGTGGTGTCACGCCCGGCACGAGAGACTTCAGCTACAGCCGTGAAGGGGGTCGGGAGAGAAAGCAGCCCCTCGGACCCAGGCGGCCTCCCTGCCCTGGAATCCGGATCAGGGGGAGCAGGCCGGCTGGGGAGTCCCGTGAGCAGGCGCAGCGCCATCTGGTGGCAGCTCGGGGAAAGTCCGTATGCTGCGGCGGGGTGTGGACCCCAGGGTAGAGTTCCAGGGAGAGTCCTGACCTGGAGACCAGAGGCCCTTACGGAAACGTCTAGGGCGTTGCTCTGAGTGTGGACTTGGAAAGGCACAGAATCTCGATTCTGGGTCCCTCTGTTCTGGGCTGCAAACAGTTAACCCTGCCGCCACCGCCCTCCCTGGGCCCCAGACATCTGCAGTGGCGCCAGCACCAGGAATTCCAGGGAGGGTTCCAGGGAGGGTCCAGCCAGCGCCATGGGAAGCTTCAGAAGGAGGCAACAGGGCTGGACTTTTATCAGGATGTTGGCCCCAAAGGGACGTCCTTCAGAACATCACAGCTGAAAATAGCTAATAAGCAAACATTTTCAGGGGTGTGTGTGACTGCCCCCCGGAGGAAAGGAGGTATCTGAGAGCCACTTGGGGGTGTGGCTCAGAAGCTGCGCCCAGCCAGGCAGTGGCTGGAGACCAGGTCCCTGCAGAGTCCTGTGTGTGACTCGGCCCCAGGACACCCCAGGTGCAAACGGCTTCCTTGACACCCGCTGCCCCCTCCACCCGCTTTTCCATTTGCTCTCTTCTCTTCCCCTCAGGGATGAGATGCTCAGGGCAAGGGAGGCCCGGGGACCGGCCTGTGTGCAGAGGCCGCGGTCCCGTGCAGGGAAGGAAGGGTGTCCACAGAGAGCTGCTCTTCATCGGGGACAAAAGGACACCCCGAAGTGGACGCTCAAATGTCAGCTGTTGGAGCTGCAAGATAAGGGGTCCAGTCCCATGGTGAGGAGCACGGCCAGTCCCGTGGGGCGTGGACACGATGCTGCCCTCTAGCTCTGACCACCGCGCCTCCTCCTAGCAACTGTCCTCTCTGCTCGCCTCTCGTGAAGGTCGAGCTCCACTCAGGGCCAGTCGTCACTGGCTGTGCCCACAGCAGGACCACAGACGCCCTCACGCCAGGGCCTATGACTGGACCGTGTCCGGAAGCGGCCTTTGCAGATGTGGCCAAGTGAAGATGCAGCTCAGTGGGCCAGGCTGGGCCCTGCCAGTGACCAGTCCTTGCAAGAAGGAAACGTGGGCACAGACAGGAGAACAGGCCACGTGATGATGGGCAGACACTGAGCAAGTCCCGGGATGGCCGCCCCAGCAGAAGCCGGGAGAAGCGAGGAGGACCCTCCCTGGAGCCCACGTCGGGGAGAGAACATGTGTGCGGTCTGAGGCCACGTCTGTGGTGATGCAGGACAGCTCAGGGAACTGCACAGCAGTGGTTCTCCACCAGTTCTGGTGCCCAGTGCAGATGCCCCCCATTTCCCCACAGGATCTCTGTTCACTTCCTGTGTGTGACCATCACTGTGGACACCAGCGTTCACCCTGAGCTGGCTCCGTGGCCGTGCCACGGGGAGGGGAAACCGAGACTCAGCCGGCCCTGGAGGCTGAGTGGTTCTGGAACGGCCCAGGCCCAGCCCCAGAGGAGGGCTCCGGGAGAACCCGGGCAGTGCCGCAGGCCCTCTGGGAGGAAAGCTGGGCCTTGGGGCCTGGGAGTCGGCCTGTCCGAGTTGGCCCAGGGCAGCACAGAGCCTTGCTGCCTCCTCTCGGCCTCCTGGCCTCCCAGCCTGGTTTCCATGAAGCTGAGACGTGAAGCCCCCTGGTCATCGGCCTCCGGTTTGCCCAGACCGGCGATCCCTCTACAGTGAGCCTCGGCCACTCGACAGCAGACAGGCCTCTCCTAAGACCATCTGACTTGTATCGCCCGGACACAAGCGAATGGACATGGATGGGGCTGGCTGGCTCTCCTGGACATGCCCTGCTGTCTTCGGCCCAGGCCTTCCGCACGAGGCCTGGGGCCCGATGACTAACTAGTCTACAATGCTCGTGTGCCCAAAGCCACAGCCTGCCACTCGCGCGGGGCGTGCAAGGCAGGATGCGCTGCCCTGACTTGCGAGCTGGGACACCAGGCGCTATGCAAGGGCCATCAGTCCCTTCTTCCTCTCAGCCTCGGGGTCACCCAAGAGACACTGAGGTGCTCCCAGCACCCTGCCTGGCCAGGGGCACTCACCTGCGGTGCGTCAGGAAGCTGCCGCTGACGTGCCCGGAACCGTCACACCCAGGTGTGGGGCAGGACATGCCCTCCGTCTTGACCGACTTCCAGGAGAACTGGGAGCCATTGAGGTACCCGTCCTTTTGCCTCTTGGCCGCCAAGGGGCAGCCGGAGGCACTGCGGTGGGAGGCGTACTTCCCAGTGATGTGGCCCTGGCCGTCACACCCAGGGACGGGGCACCTGAGGGCAGACAGGAGACACACACTTTATTGCCTGCGGTCACATCCCCGGCGGCCTCCACAACCTCCTCCAGGAACCTGACGCAGAGAGAAAAATCACACTCTACTTGGGCAAAAGAAAAAGAAGGAAAAATAATTAACCGAAGGGCACCACCTAGTGGGACGATGGAGCACTTCACCCTCACTGGAAGACACGGCTTTCTGCAGAACCACTGCATTTAGGGTGCACACACGTCAAGCCAAGAAGACATCGCAGGGTTATTTTCAAAAAGGCTATTTCATTAACCAGTGTTTCCCCAGGAGCTAGAGAACATCTGTTTACTGGGCCACGTTCTCCGGACGCCATAAAGCACCCCTGAAGCCAGGCAGGATTTCAGCAGGGGAGCAGGATAGAGAGCCCTGGAGTGGCATCAGCAGGAAACTCGCCGTGGGGGCGTTCTGGGGAATAAATGGAAAAACTGCGGCTGGCGCCCAGGCCCTCCCTGCTCCTGAACCGCACCCAGGCTGCAGCTGGGCCGCGGGCACCTCCAGACGCAGACCGGGCCCTGCAGGCTCCTCACCTGCCCGGCTGGCGGGTTTGCCTGCATTTTCTTCTAAGTAAAGTTACCTGCTAAGGACTTGGCATTACCTATTTAATTTGATACATTTTAATAACTTTCATTTTAAAGAATTTTTGTCTTAATAGAAAGTTTTCTGCATAGACATTGAGATGAACATTTCAGGGAGACAGCATCAGGTCCGTCGTACGGATTTTTGAGACCCAGGCTCCCTGGGCGTTGGTTCAGGGCGAAGGGGAGTCTGAGGCCCCACAGGTCAGGAGCCCAGGTCCTGCCTGAGAGAGAACAGCTGAGAGGTTCGTGGGCTGGAGCCAGCACAGGCCTGCCTTTCCCGTGACTAAAGTGCAATCTGTGGCCAGGGGGCGAGGAAGTGCCTGGTGTCTTATCACCCCGAACATCAGACTGGTGGGTGTTTGCGGACTCCTCATTCAGAACTTGGACCACGCGACTTGGGTCTGGTTTGAATGATCTGACTGTGCAGCTGACATGGCAAAGCACGGCTCCCGCGACGCCCATGGCGTCCCCTCAGCGTGGCAGGCCAGGCCCGCAGCCCCAGCTCACCTGATGGGTTCCTGGTCTTCTTTGTCCTCCTTGCTCTGTGCTATCCTGATGCCGCTCTTCTTGGCTCTCGGGCAACCTGAGAGACTGAAGAGCAAACAGGAGCTCAGCCGACCTCCCACACTGCCCTCAGGTCCCCGCCCGCACCGACCATGGCTCCCACTGGACTCTCTCCAGAGCCCCACTTCCCAGCATGAAAACAAAACTGGAGGTCCCCCCAGGGCAGCCCGACGTGCTCTGGAAGCACCCCTCTCAGTGCTGGCCGGGCGTCGCCCCAGCTCCAGGCCCCCGCCTGGGCCTGCTCTCAGGGGCGCTCAGGCTGCTGGCTCTGACTCACAGCTCACTGACTTCCACTTTCCCGACCACCAGCTGAGCACCAGAACCCAGGAAACAGAGCTAAGCACTGACCAACGTTTTGAAACTCGTTTTCTGCTTAAAACGTGTAAATGAAAACCCACTGCTCACTGCCCCCCGCAGGAGCTGCCCTGTGGGACCACAGTGCGGACCCTCTGGGCCATTTCCAGGCGGGCAGGCGGCGCTCAGCAGGGACACAGGGGTGCTGCAGACCTCAGCTGCCCTGCCTGGACTCAGGGCAGGCTGCTTCCAAGCCCGGGGGTCCAGTGGGCGGAGCCAGTGCTCAGGGATCCAGACCCTTGACTACCAGCCTCTGCCTGTGTTTGTGATTCCTCTTCAGGGTCCAAACCTAACCCACGACGTCACTTCGCTTTGAGCGAGGCAGAGACTGCAGGGCCCTCGGAAGGGGGGAGGCAGCGGTGCGCCCTCAGGAGTGGGGAGGCCTGTGGTGCGCCCTCGGGAGTGGGGAGGCAGTGGTGTGCCCTCAGGAGTGGGGAGGCAGTGGTGTGCCCTCGGCAGTGGGGAGGCAGCAGTGCGCCCTCGGGAGTGGGGAGGCAGCGGTGTGCCCTCGGAAGGGGGCGCGGCGGAGCGCTGGCTTGGGCGCCGCTCAGGGCTCCTGGGAAGAGCTGGTTGTTGGCATCGGGGGCTGCTCTTCCTTCCTGAACAGTGTGAGTTTGTTTTCCCTCCCCGAAACGTCAGTGGGTCCAAACAGCAGACGTGAAGAAGACTCTGCCCTCACCCCACCCCGCCAGCCTGCAGAGACCACAGGGATCTCCTCCAGTGACTTGCAGCCGGTCCGTCTGGGGGCTCCTGTCCCACTCACTGGGAAGCGGAGGCCGCAGCCCTTCCTGCCCCTGCTCAGCGTCCTGGAGCTGTGCGCGGGCTGCCTGTCCTGACCCGCCATGGCTCAGCACCTGCTCCGAGCCTCCTGGATGTCGCCCTAACTCTGGAGTGTGCTCCCAGTGCCTCCATCTCTCACAGTGTCCTCTGTGCCAAGCGCCACCCCGCCTCCCCACTGCAGGGCTCCTGCCCATGTCCCCACAGGCGGCCTTGCCAACGCAGGGCTCATCATGATCCGTGTCTCCATCTGCAGTCGTGTGTTTGGGAACACCGACAGCCCTTCCCGAACCTCGCTTTCTCGGGGTGGGGTCCAGGCCCAGCTCCTGGAAAGAGCGGGCGGACAGCAGGCCAGCGCCCGCAGACTGTGCTGCGGGAAGTGTGCCTTGGGGCCTCGGAGCAGGGGAGATCCGGCCGGTCGCTGCAGCCGGAACCCGAGGGCAGAAGAGAAGCCACCCTGTGGGAGTCGGATTCACGTGGCCCTGCACCAGGGCCACCACGGGCTCCGGCCTGTGCTGCTGGAACAGGGACAGCCGACTCACGGGCCTGGTCCTGTGCCGAGGCCATCGGGGAGGGGGCGGAGAGTGTGAGCTGCCTGGAGACGGCTCTTTGAAGGAAAGCTGGAGAAAGGGATCTGTTTTTGTTTGAAGACAAGAAAACAAGGTGCCGCGTGGTGATGATGTGAGATTTCTGATGGCCGTGCTGGTCTTCTCAGTAAACAAGGGCGCAGCGGAGGGTGAAGTCTGATCAGGGGGGCGTTTCTGACAGAGCATCATCTCAGTCAGTAAATATTGATGAACGTGAACTTAGGAAGGTTTCAGAGATGATGCAGAGACGGAAAAACCACAGCACTGTTACAACCAAAACAAAAGCACACGGGTTGGATCCCATCCAGGACGGGCCAGGGCGCTGGACATCAGAGGGGCCCCCGGCAGGGCCGCTCAGGCTTGAGTAACCACGTGATGTCTAGTGCCACCACGCAGTCTCGCCGCAACCTGCTTCCTCCAGCGCAGAGGATGTGGTGCCTGTGGCTCTGGAACCAGGCCCAGGATGGTGCCTGGAGGACGGGGAGCCAGGCTGTGTGCTCTGTGTGTGGCGCCGTCAGCACCAGCTGGAGCGCCGTGAGCCCAGTGTCCTTTGCAGTCCATGTCCGGGGAGTGGGCAGCGGAGGCCAACCCTGAATGGAGCCACTGTGCTTGGACTCCCGGCCGTCAGGGTCCGACAGGCCCAGGTGGTGTGATGGCGTCTGTCCTTTGCCTGTGCCCAGCTACAGGTCCGTCCGCCGAGGGCGAGTGTTCCACTCACACTGTGCTCAGGGAAAGGACCCCAGGAGACACCGCGGTCGCGTGCCTCTGACGCTGACCCCATGAGGCCGCATACGACTCCACACCCCGTCCCGCCACACCCCTGGGTCAGCCCGGCGACACCTGCCTGCCTGCAGCACCGACACGTTCAGACCCACGTGCAGGAAGGGTCGGAAAAGCGCGAGTGGTGCACAGGATGCCAACAGCACTGCTCAGCAGGAACACACGCGGACGGGGGACGGCAGGTGCCCGTCCAGCTGAGCTGCCATCACATGCCGAAGTTCTGGCCTGACTGGGATGTGTCTAAGACAAATTAAAATCAAGGGCGCATGGAATGTGCTTGACTTTTTATATTTTAGTGGAGTTTCAGGTCTCGTTTTCCTGTGTTTGCCCAGACCTGGGCTCTGCCTGGGCAGCCCTCGCCCTCCCCTCAGAACACAGTGGCCGAGCAGAACCGGCCAACTGCTCAACGCGACAGACCCATCCTGACCCCTGGCCAACAGTGGTGGCCCAGGAGCACTGGGCGACGTCTCCAGCTGTCAGGAGCGGCATCTGCTCAATGCCCTGCAGCAAAGAATGATCCAACCGAGATGCCTGCAGCGCCAGGCGGAGCCCTGGTCTGGGGAGCGAGACACGGTCTTCAAGTGAGTGCCAAGGGTCCCAGAGTCCGAGGCTCAGTCCTTGCTGGAGGCCTGCTTGGTGCCTTTCATAGGCCTGTGCGCCTCAGACAGCTCCCAGCAGCTGGGGTGGGACTTGCAGGAGGATCTCGTGAACAAACCCTCCAGCCAGTCAGCGAGCATCCCCTGCTCTGACCACTGCTGTGAGAGTGAGGTCATTCGGGGCCACAGGGTGTAACCTCTGACCCGCTGACCCCCTCCTCTGGTGGGCTGGATGGGCAGCTGACAGTGCTGTCGTGTCCTAACGCCCTCTCTCTTCTGTGGGGAGTGGGCACTTGACGCAGAGGCTCGGCTGCTGTGCGCGGCCGTCCTAGTCTAGGCTGTGGGGAGAGGCTGGCTGGCAGCTCCCGTCGCCCAGCCATCTGTTGGCGGCGGCCCTGGTCCCAGGCTGGGTGGGCCTTCGTCCTGAAGCGTCCTGTCCTCACCTGGCACCGACATATTCCTCACGGAACATGGGAAGAAATCCCTGCACTGGCACAGAGCCAGACCCAGCCTGTGCAGACACTGCCCCCCAGGGCTCTTCGACCCGTCCCAGGACAGGCCTGGCACAGACGGACGTGGCTGCCACGTGGGCCGACAGCCAGCTGGTGTAGCCGGCATTTCTGTCTGTCGTCCCAGGAGGACGAAGCTGTCCGCTGTGGACGTGGAGGGACGGCCTCTCGGTGGCTGTGCCCCCACGGCCCTGCTCTCGGGAACCGTGCGGCCTGGGCTCTAGGCTGAAAAGCTAAGGTGCTGGGGGCCTGCCTCTCAGTGACTGTCCTCGGGGATCCATGCTCCTCCAGGGCCTTCTCTTTCTGGTCAGGACAGGTGCCGCCGGCTGACTCCAGAACTGCGGCAGCGGGCGGGTGGGCCCGCTGCAGGGAGAAGCCAGCCCGAGGGCTGGCGCCTGGCTTGGGACAGCGTGCTGTCCCAGCGGCCGGCAGGTGCAGCGCTGCCCTGTGTGCCCATTCACCAGTGGGCTGGCGCATGCCAAGGCTGTCAGCAATGTTCCGGGGCAGGAGGGCGGGAGAAAGGACGGTTTCCACAGGAGGACAGCCACATACCTTCGATGGGAAGCGTAGTTGCCCGTAATGTGCCCAGAGCCATCACAGCCAGGAGTGGGGCACCTACAATTAAAAACACAGATTGGGCAATTTACTTGAAAGAAAGAAAATCCCCTGAACACATTAACTTTCTTGTTTCTCCAGACAGCGAGCTCCCTTTAATGCTTACGTTCCCTACGTGAGAACTAGATATGCAGCTGCAGTCTCGTGGCTGGCGTGGACGTGGGTGCACCCACCACCACAGACACCAACCTGGGGCCACGTCTTCTTTCCAGCACAGTGACACTGCCCAGGGTCATGACTCCCAGTGACAACCTTGGACCCGCATCTCTAAGGCACCCTGGGCACGGGCTGCTCACTGCATCCCCTCTCCGCGTGTCCCGTGCCCCGCCCCTCCATGTCCTGGAGTCGGCTGCACCCGCGCACTGCAGAGCCGGCCATCACACCGGCCGCGCACAAAGCAAGCTTTCCTGTGAGCAGACGTGCACGGTGGTCTCAGCTCGCACGCAGCACGACCACGGCCCAGGACACTGACCCTCCACACCCCTGCCTACCTGGTCAACCCAGGTCCCAGGGTGGAGGCAACTGGACCAGACCATGGGGCTAGATCACGCTTTCAGACCATCAGGTAGGTTCAGTTTACCTTAAAGTCCTCATTAGTGTTTTACTGACTCGAGTAGAGTAGATGCCTCTCTTGGTCAACTGGGCCAAGGCAGCTGTGACACTCAGACCAGCTCCCCCACACCTGGGCTGCCTCTGCCACACCTTCCTGGCCAATGCTCTCCAGCTCTTAACTACCACACGCACTGCTCGGGGGGAGAACGCTGTTGAGAACAGTTTTCAACGATCCCCCTTCAAACACCTTCCTAAATACACCCTCTCAAGGACACGCAGATGGTCCTACAAGGACATCTTCACTCCAAGTCATTCCAGTTGCTTCTGCACCAGCCAGAAATGTGAACCCCGAGGACAAAATGAACATTTTAAGTACCTAATAGATGCAAACTGCTTCTAAGAGAGTCCACTGTGCTTTCCACTCAGGGCGTCTCCCTGGATGCTGGGCGTGGAGGCCAGGCCAGCAGACACCAGCTCCCAGACCGACGTCCTCACGGTTGAGCCTGGACTGTGTCCAACTGTGTGAACAGCATATTTGGACGCCTGGATGTACCCCAAGAGAGGTAACATGATTCTAGGTCTTGGGGTATGGGAACTGAGAGTCGCCAGATCATGTTAAAGGTTAAAGCTTACTCTGGGGCTTTGCTAGGGAGCATCAAGAGGAATGGGTGAACGGGGCCAACGAGGCTGCTGTGTGCACAGGGGGAGCCGGGATCTCACGGCAGGAGCCAGACTCCATGTATCAAGACAGCCAGAAGCCGGATGGCCGACCTGGCTTCCGCTAACGAGACAGCTGTTTGACCACAAGACTATTCTGTCAGGCGCTAAGTAATTATTTTCCACGTAATGACTGAAATGAGTTAAACAGCTGATTTCCTGATCACACCTCATGTGGAGACACCCAGACCCTCTCGTGGAGGAGCCTGAAACAGTGAGATCCTTCTGACAGAGGGTCACCTTCCTGCAACTTTCCATCTTGAAACTGTATCCAGAGACAGGAATGTTCCCCCGACCAATGATACATACTTGGCCTTTCACCAAAAATAAGAATAAAAAATAAAAAAGTCCTTAAACTCTTCCTAATTTAAACACTTTGTGCAAATTTATTTAAAATCCATTCATTTTAAGATGAGTATGAACTTTTCCACTTTCTGATGGGGGCAGGAGTTTAAGTTTCAGGTGAGGTATCACAACCAAGATCACACGCGGGAAAGTCCGACTTTGCTGATTATGAGCGAGTTTTCTGAAGCAGTCTGAGACTGAGCCCTTTACAAATGCATCCTGAGTGAGGAAAGACACAGGAGAATGTCCTCCATCACCATGAAAACAAGACACCAGTGTGGCTCATGTACAGGCTTTTGAGGTGCTGGGGGAAAGACATTCTTAGAAAGGGCCTCGCTTCCCTCTGAGGTTCGCTGCATCTCCAGGGTTTCAGGTAGGCGGATGGCCTGGGGAAACGCGAGCTGGGCTGTGGTTCGCCCCCTCTCCTGGGCTGACCCCAGCCTGCCCTAAGTGCGGGGGACGGGAGGAGGTGCTGGCGTCACCCGGGACTCGGCGGGTCCCTCTCCTCCTGCGCTGGCCAGTGTCCCTGACACGCCTCGTGGAGTTCCGGGGGTGCTCTGGGCCACACACTGCGGCGGGGCCTCTCCCAGCCCCTGCCCCTAGCAGCCCTGCCTGTCCGCTGTGTGGCTGGCTGTTCGAGGCTTCAAGGCTTCAAGGCTTCGGGGAGTTCCAGGCGGATTTCCCAGCTAAGAAATCTCAGCCTGCAAAGTACAACTTTCTGAAGTCAGTGAATGAGGAAGTGATCATTCTTCTAACAGAAGGGGTCTCTGCTTCTCAGGCGGAGCCAGCTCCGGGGCCCCCGGTAACGGGCCACCGTGAAGCCCACGAGCAGTTTCTGCTGTATCTCCCCAGCTAGAGCACATCTCTCCAGGAAGGGGGCGATGTGGGGCGGCCAGAACCCCCGGAGACAGAATCTGACCGTGGCAGCATGCACTGCACAGCTTGGGTTTGAAATGGCACAGGGGAGGCACTGGGTTTCTATGGAAACTCCCTGAGCAGCAGGCTCAGGCTCTGAGCTCTGAGCTCAGGAGGCCACAGGAAGGGCCCCGCCCCTCAGCTTCTCCTCACTGCCGGGGCATCAGCACAAGGGCATTGGGTCTATTTTCAGCCTCTACGGTTTGGGATGTAAGGGTGTGTCAGCTAAAACACTTGCTTCATGTGTCTTCTCTCTTCCACTCGAAAGGGCCTCTGGGTAAAGCGGCTGAGAAAGCAGATGGGTTATCTTAGCACCTGTCCTGGGCCCTCAGGGACACATTCAAGACAAAAACATGCGTGACCCTTGCCTTGTATGCGATCTTGCCTTTGCCCTGGGATGTAAGTAAAACAGAGAGAAAATAATGTGGGGTACCCTCTGTAATTATCTGGCTGGAAAAACTGGTCTTGTGTAGGCATTTAAGAATGGTGACGGAAAAATCATAATTAATAGTTTTAAATGTGTTTACATTTTGCAGTATCCAGACCAAATTAAAAAAAAGAATCAAGACCACTCACAAACTCGGGTTTCTGACTTGTGAGCCTGTCTTTCTCAGGCAGAAAGGAACAGGGTCTGCGCTGCTTCGGCAGATCTGAGACCTCAGAGACCCCCCGCCTCCCAGACGCCTCCTGCTCTGGGCTCTTCACTATTTGCCATCAGCACACAGGCTCTACGTGGACCACACGGGATCCTCTCTGATCAGCCCTGCACGGGGTCGTAAGATGCACTCACCATCGAAAAGAGCCTGCCACCTCTGCACTGAGCTACACAATCAGGGGGGCCTACAAAGCTGGCGACAGCACGAGACGACCGTGCTCTCCATCTGCAAACCGCAGCCTCGACGCAGGGTGGCAGCGATGCAGAGTCGCGCCTGCTCACTGAAGTCGCCTGCACTGCTGGTTCACGAGAACCTCCGTGGACCTCCTCCAGAATGGACCAGCCCCTGCAGCTCAGGGCTGACGGTGAGAACGTGAGGAAGTGAGGTGTCTGGGACGTGGAGCTACGTGTGCAGTCTGCACACAAAGGCTGGGATTCTGCCCTCACATTGGAGTTGCGACTGGACCCGTCCTCGCAGCCCAGTGGACCGCTGAGCCGACCCTCCGAGGTCGACTCATAACCTGCCCTGACTCTGAGCACAGTCACTGAAACAAACAAAACCGTCGCCAGATATTGGAGACGCTAAGCCGTCAGAGGGTGCGCGCCCAGCTATGGGGACCCACAGGGAACTCCGATAGGCTTTCGTTCCCTTCTTTCACGGCACCCTAGCAAGGGAGCTGAGCGAGTAAGACACAAACTGTGAAGAAACAGAGTTTTCCTCAACGCCCTCAATTTTCAAAGAAATCATCAAAGCATCACATTGAGCCTGGTCTGCAGTAGCAAATCCATCAGCGAATTAGAATGATTCAGGCCACACACATAAACCCTTTGCCCCATTTGTACAAAAAGTTCAATTCAAAACTTTTTCTTGTCTAAAGAGATGTAACTCCAGAAACAGATCTCTTTATTCAGAGTTTGCCGCATATCTAAGGAAACAATGAACACAGAGAACTGAAAGGTAAAATGGAACAATAACATATACTGATGTTTATGCGACACTTCTGCAATTTCCCCCCAAACAGAGAGAAACCAGGTCACTTCTGCCGTTTCTTAAACACATGGCCCAACTCTCAAGGACGGTCGAGATCTCGGGACTGTTTCCGTCTGAGAGGCGTTCCACACTCTCTCCGTCTCCAAACCCACCAGTGTGTGCTCCGAGCTTCTCCCACCTCCTGCCGTCCTTGAGCCTCCGGCGAGGATGGGCTGTCACCTGTGAGGCTGTGACTCCCCACGACTCGGAAAGCCTACGGATCTCAGCATGTGGCGCCAACCCCTGCTCCTGGTGGAACTTGGTGAAGACCTGCTTTCTGGTTATGTCAACAGGTAGACACAAACCACCTTTCTCTTTTGGCTCTAAGCACTTTCTTTTAAAATTACATGAAAACAAACACATGCTTGAACAAGAATTTTAAAAGTAAAACCATTAAAAAAATGTATCTTGGCGATTCAGGGGACATCTGGAATAGGTTAGGCCTCAGGTTACTAAAAGTGGAAGTGTCATTGTGCAGATAAAACTCGGAGTTGTGGTTCCAGGGATGGGCTGTGTGGTCACGGCAGGTGGACAAGGGCCAGCTGGCAGGTGGAGGGCTCTCTCGGTTCCAGCAGCCGTGACTGCTCACCAGGGCACAGTGCAAAGGCCGCTGGAGGGCGTCGCACACCGTTCAGACCCCTGCTAAGCAGGGTGTGAGCCAGTCCGTATACATTCTGACTTAGAGGCTACCATCAGCACTGGGTCACCTCTGCATGCACCCTGTGAACCACCTCTGCCTTCCCCTCCACTGGGCCCCAGGGTGCCCGGAGGGCGGATGCTGCCCTT